TTAGGATAAAAGAAATGTTCGAGGATTGGATGCTACAAATGTGCTCTGTGATTATTTTGTGATTTTTGCGGTAATTCAGGTCGGAGGATATTATATTTAGTGTTTACGTATATCGGAAGGCAAGAGGATTGACATAACGTCAAGTAGGACTTTTAAATCCCACCCCTTTTTAAATTATTTGCTTAAAACCGTAATTTTCGGTTATCCGGATTTTGAATTTTCGATTTACCGGATTTTGTTATCGGATTCTATCCGTGACCTCTATAGAACTCTGGTTACCAAAATTTGGGGTTCTAGACCCATTATTTACTGACCTTTTAATGTTACTTCCGGTCGGCGGTGGAACACGAGTTTTAGGCTTCCAGTTGGACCTATCAAAATAATTTTTGGGTATTTCTTTAAGGACCATTTACGTAAATTTTTCGTAAAATTTCGTTAAAATCGGACAGATATAATTTAAACTATGGCGATTCTTATATTGAGTTCTAAAATCAACTTCTCACTGAACGTTGGTTGCCAAGGCAAAGGTCGTTTCCAGTTGATCATACGGTTTTTTCGCTTTTTCTAGACTATTTTTTATTTAATATAGTACTTATTATATATTTTTGGAATCGGGGTGACACAAAGATTCTAAATAATATATTTCGGATAAATATATAGTCTGATTTTGCGCTTTTTATCCGTTTTTCTAGTTGCATTTCATTGCTACCTCATTGGCATTACTATAGTCATGGCTGATAGTCCACCCATCATTGCAGCGCGTACAGCTGCAAATGACGTAATCACTGAATTAAAAGAATATATTGCAGAAAATTCACATAGCAAATTTTCAACTTCCCGTCACGCAGATTTTATCTTTGACTGTATTAATAGAGTAATCAAAATCTATGAAGAGAACAGTGTTTTGTCTATGCTTAAGGAGATTAACAATAAAATTGATACAATAGGCAATAGTAACAATAAAGACGTAATAATTACCCCTTCATACAGTTCAGTACTGCAATCAGGCAAAGCTGTTAATTCAGCTACTGCTAATATTACACTTAAGCCGTCTAAAGACGTTCTACTAATTTATAACAAAGAGGACAATAAAAACAGTGAAAATACACGTAAAATCATACAAGAACGTATAAATCCTATTGCATTAGGCATCGGAGTAGAAAGAATACGTCGCATAGGGGGAGGAGGCGTTGCAATACATTTAAACAATAAAAGTGATCTAACAAAACTTGAGAATTGTGTACAAGAATCAATACCAGAACTAATAGTCAGGAAACCTAAGAAACGAAATCCACATATTGTACTATACTCTGTGCCTGCACAATTACTGCGTGAAGAACTCCAAGATTATATATATGAGCAAAATAATATCATACATGAGAATTATTCAGAAATAGAATTTAAGGAACAATTTAAAATAAAGTTTAGCATGGGACGAAAAGATGCTCAATTTCATAATTGGGCGGTAGAAGTTTCACCACAAATTCGGAAATACCTTCTTATGGTTGGAAAAATAAACTTACAATGGTCTCGATGTAGAGTTCAAGACTTCTGCCCTATTATGCAATGTTTCCGTTGCTGTAAATACGGACACTCCACCAAATACTGTGAACAAGAAATACCAACATGTAGTCAATGCGCCGGGGAACATACATATAAACAATGCCCTAATAAGACTACTAAACCGAGATGTATTAACTGTCATCACAATAAACTGAATACTTTAAACCACAACGCAAGAGATAGCTCCTGCCCTGTCTTTCAACGGGTTAAAAATACCATCATACAACGAACAGAATATGGCATTTAGCAGTAATAACGGTATACGTTTTCTGCAGATCAATTTGGGAAAACGTATTTCAGCAACTTCTCTTCTTGCATCTATCTGCCACAAATATGATTTTATTTTAATACAAGAGCCCTATTGTCTACACAATAATCCGGCATGCTTACCAACTCGCTATTCAATTCTTAAGGGCACTGAAAACTATCCTTGGGCAATTAATGTTATTACTAACATCAATTTTACTATCCTTCATCACAAGATCTTGTCGAATGAATACATTGTATGTAATGAAATTTATTTTAATAACAATACTTACATAATTATCAATATTTATTGTCCACGCGACATGAATCTGAATATTATTATCGACAAACTACAGAATCTAATTAATAAATTTCATAATGCTCGGTTTATCATTGCGGGGGACATAAATGCACATTCACCTGCATGGGGCGGTTATCAGCATGACCACCGTGGAGGCATTTTTGAAGATTTTATAGCCACTAATGGATTACAATTATTAAACAATCCGCTATCCCCTCCCACTTATGTAACTAGTTATGGGGAAACATGGATAGATGTTGCAGTATGCAGTTCAGAATGTATAACTGAGTTAGAAAACTGGAGAGTTCTCGCTGAAAGTAGTCTCAGTGATCATGCTTACATTTCATTTCAGCTTAAAAACAACGGCAGTGCACAAACTGCATCCGTAGATAAGCCTAGGTTTAATCTAGCTCTGGCTGATTGGGAAGGTATGCTCCGCTATCTATCAAACAATCTATTGACATATAATAATATGAATAATATTTCTAACAAAGAAATCATCGAACAAACTCTCGATTCTAATATTAAGACAATTGAACAAGCATGTCATAGATATATTCCTAAAACAAATCCTAGATTGAAATCTGTACCTTGGTGGAATAACGAGCTCACTGATCTTCGAAAAACAAATAATTATCTGCGAAGAAGATATCAAAAATGTCGAAATGAACCAAATCGTACTATATTTAAACAAGAATATTATACACATCAAGTCTTCTATAAAAGAAAAATAAAGAATGCGAAAATACAATCTTGGCAAGATTATTGTACTGCTGCCTCATCCAACCCATGGGGATACCTTACTAAATTATGTACGAATAAATTACGAAAGCAACAAATACTAATAAATAATGACCCTGAAACAATAACGCAATCAACTATTGATACAACCCTTTTAAACACCCTGAAGCAGCGAATGGATAGCTATTGTATCTCAGACTGCGCTGCAAAGGACACCCCTTGGCAGAGATCATTAAGAGATAACATAAACAAACATATGAACACTGGTAACTCTTCTCAGTTTACTTATCAGGAAATAAATAACGCCATCAGTAGACTAAAAGAAGGAGAATCTCCAGGCGTTGATGGTATAACTGCCAAAATTGCAAAACATATTTGGGAAATGATTCCACAACAACTTGTACAATTATATAATGTATGTTTATTCGCAGGCATTTTTCCAGCCAGATGGAAAATTGCGAAAATAGTACCTGTCCCTAAACCAAATAAGCCCAGTGAAACAAGACCAATTTCTCTATTGCCAATTTTTGGTAAAGTACTTGAACGTCTATTAACAGATCGATTAACCTGGTTGGTTGAGAAAAATAACATACTTAACAACATGCAATTTGGCTTTAGACAGCAAATTTCCACCAGTGACGCACTAATTCATGTAGTACATAATATTAAAAGCCTACTTGAATATAACAAGTATGTCTTGGCTATTAGCTTAGACATATCCAAAGCATTCGACAGTGCCTGGTGGCCGTTTGTGTTACATCAAATCAGAAATACAGCCTGCCCAGCTGACATTTATAATCTATTTGTAAATTATTTAAGCACTCGTAAAGCCATTCTTGAGTACGGTGGACACACGAGGGAAAGAGAAATTGTCTGTGGATGCCCCCAAGGATCTGTTTGTGGTCCGTTATTATGGAATCTAACATTCAATGCCTTTTTTGATGAAAACTTTGGGCAAGATGCAACAACAGCTTACGCGGATGATGTTTTAATAATGATTGGCGGGCGGTCTAGAGCAATTTTGGAAAAACGTGGAAATGATACTCTTGCAAAGATTCATCAATGGGGAATTAAACATAAGCTGAAATTTAATCCTGCAAAAACTACCGNCTACTGTGATATCGATATGTAACTTTATACTAATAATGTACTACTCCGCCGTCTTTTGTTTACTTACAATATGTTAAGCGGTTTCTTCATCTGCGAAATATATTTTGATAAATAATGTGCATATATCTCTCAGCTATGTATTAAACGGTACTGAGAATGCACCTACAGGGTGTTTAATAAAAGAATTGAATTGAATTGAATTGAATTGAATTTATATGACTGGAAACGAACATTTTTGTAAAATAGTACTTTTATTTTCACTGAAGTGAACGCTTAACCACCAGTGGCAAAGTGCATAAAACAATTAAACACTTAATGTGAGTTTGCGCCTTACCAACGAGACAGTAACATTGAGTTTTCTTCGTTTTAATAACACCTATGTAAGTTCCAATTTCCAACAGTCTTCTCATGAGGCATCCTAGAATCGAGCTCCCAGTGTTCAGAAAATGGAACTGCTTGCGCACTGCTGAGCTGTAAAAAAGGGAATTAGTATAAGTATGATTACTTGTTTATTGCAATTATGATGAGATGCACTCAGTAAAAGTTTGATTATTTAGCTTTCGATTTCATAACAATAATAATAATATAAAATAGTAGGACATGATGTCTTGAAAGTTTAATTAGCTTCTTATCTGAAATGTTTACGTAAATGGTAAAGTTATTTTATTATTTATAAGTTTGCCATGACATTCTAAATATACTGTATTTGCAGAAGTTTTATAGAAACTGGTTCAGCCTATCTTCTTGATACGCAAAAAATAGGCAGCAGACATGAATTTATTCAATTATATATATATATATATATGACACACAGATTCATGCACGAATCCATCAAAATCAGTGTGAAATGAAAATAATAATTAGTCAGGAGGTGGCGTATCCGCCGTGTAAAAATATGGAAATTATTACGGTTATGAGCAATAAGATTGAATTGTAATACAGAAGGAAAAGCCAGCATTCCAAAAATCCGTTTGTGTGATAGAACTTTTATGATGTTTATATAAAGGAATAATGAAAAAATATAAAGGAATATATACTAGTGACTGGTTTATAAAATTTACTAAGAAAATACTCTGGCACACAGTTTTCATAAGCTACCTTAATATTAGTGAACTTGTTATAATAAAATTATATTAATGTAAAGAGAAAAAAACAACAAGGAAACAATGAATCTGTACCACTTCATGTAAAAAGGTTCTCTTCGTGTCAGCAGCATGAAAAAAAAAAACGTGAAGGTGTGTTTCCTATATGGATAAAGAAGTTTTGATTAAGCGTAAACGGATAATTACTTACTTAAATAACTAGGAAACGATTATAATGGATCATCCGTTACGAAAAATTTTGAAAATTTCTTGAAATTCTTAAAAAGTTTTTTGCAAAAGTTCTTCAAAGTCAAAGAATTTGGTTTTTAAAGATTAATAATTTTAAGATATGTTCTGTAATGATCGTAAAAAGTTTTATATACGTACAAAAAGATTTATATTTGTATATTAATATTGTAATTTGTATGTATTATTGTAATTTTGGTTGTCTCAGGACCGGCCTACATAAGCCCGAAACGTGTACAAAAAACAAACACATAAATCAATTAAAACTCAATAAACTTAAAATGAAGATTGCAAAGTGTTCGTGCGTTTACGCTATATAGTGCTCAAAAAGACAAGTTAAATGAATCGTTAAAAGCGGACCACCAGTGAACCACCAGTTGCCAAGAGTTCGGACGTGGATTTGCGCCTCGCTCAGACAGGCTTGCCACGTGGTGTTTTCTGGGTTATCTCCATTTTAGTAACGCCTGAATAGGGGCCAGTTACCCTTCCAAGAACGTCCGGATAGCATTCCCCCTAGGTAGATCGTCCAAGTATTGCGTTGCCATAAGTTATCTAAACAAACAACAAACATTCATGGTAGGATTGTTTAAAATGTTGCGTGGCATAAAAAAACAAGTTTTCCGAACACTTTTAGCAAATTTTTGTAAAAATTCTTCTTTTAACGACGAGATAAATCATCTGGAGGTGACAGAAATGAACTGTTCGAAAAAGAATCGGTTGCACTCCTGTCGAGAAGTTCCCCAAAGTCATGTGAATGATCAGTGATAACTGCCTTTTTATTGGTGCACCAAATAAAGGAAATTTTTTCAAGGACTACACTAGTAAGGATAGTAAAGACTATAAAGAAACTTCATAAGGAACGATAAGAACTATTCAGAGAGAGATCGCATCACCAAAAAAGGTATTTAAGACTATCTACAAATGAATTGTTTACACTCTCTCTGTTTTGTTGCCTCGACTGCTTAGCGCAAACCAACAGGTTGGTCTTGTGTATTTTCCATCTATTCTTTATGTTTCGAACAACTTAATAATAAAAATTTTATATAGCAAGTCTTCTGAAATGCAGCTTTATGGCAATTCAGTCCACTGTTGTGTCACTATATTTTGTAAATTCAACACAATTTGAAAGAATACATAAATTTAAAAAATAAAATAAATTAATTAAACTATTGGGGTTATTATCCTATCAACATTATTTTACTTATGGCTTCACAATATACGTAATAACTATTTTACCAAATATACTACTCTGAACAAACACGTTATGACAGTGGTGATATAAATGTTATAACAGGATTGTTTTTCAAAAGAATTATTTTTAAAGTATGAAATTTCTGTTAAACTTTAATTAAAGCAGTGCCAGAATTTATCTACATAATACATATTCAAAAAATATTCTGGCCTGCATATATTACTTCAACACAAAGACTTGCGATTATGCACGTGAAATTGTATTAGCAAAACAAAGATTTGTTACAGAAATACGTAATTAATAAATTAATTAAATACATATATTTCTTAGAACAATGCGTCAAAATACCAACCGAAAACTGGGTAAATTATAAAAACTTTATAAGTAAAAAGTAATATCATCCGAAGAAATTCTAAGAATAAAAGTTTGCAAAAATTCGTCACCAGGGAGAAGCATACAAATCTACATCTACCAGCGCATTTTTTTCAGTAGATATAAAGGCCGAAAATCTCCCAGTGGGAAGAATAAAGAACGTGAAGATGGCTGTAAGACTCATGAACTGTAAGTCGAAATATTATAATTTTTATTAGATACTTTTCTGTGTTTTTAAAAAAAAAAGATATTTGTAAACTTAAAGGCCAAGTAAACTAAAAACACAAGGTCAGGTCGTCGAAAAGTCTGTTCGGAAACATGTCAGGTAAATAAATCGTGTCTAAAATATTTGGACAGTCGAATGATATTATTTTTTTAGTTAATTGAAAACACAGACTGTCCAAAAATTTTTAAAGATTTATAAAATCTTGCCAAATGTGAACAGAATAGAAACTTGTTCTAGCCTACAGATGTGAAACAGAGCATGGAAACAAAGAACCATCATTATATATAACAGTTCAAGTGAGCGAATTGATTCGGGACCAAAATAAATATTAGCTTAATCAAAAAGAAATTTAATGTCAATTGAAAACTACTCGTAGAATCAAAAAAACTTATAGAGACAATAAATATAAACATCTATAAAACATCTAGAAATAAGCAAATAGCAGGAACCAAAAGTATATAAAACATGCAAACAGA